AAATTTTTAAAAATATTGAAATAGATATATAGAAAACCAAACAGATTTTAACGCTTTTTTAAACAATCTGATTTTTAAAACCTTAATTTGATTTGTTAATTTGAAAATGCAAAAATTAAATTTCCACAACTTTTTTTTAATTTTGGGGGACTTACTTTATCCATTTTCTATTAGATTTTTGGCATTAATATATACATGTGTGTGTGTGTTGTGTGTGTGTGTGTGTGTGTGTGTGTGTGTGTGTTAGTGACATGTGTGTTTGTGTGTGTTAGTGACATGTGTGTTTGTGTGTGTGTGTGTGTGTATGTGTGTTAGTGACATGTGTGTTTGTTTGTGTGTGTGTGTGTGTGTGTGTGTGTGAGTGACCACATTGTGTGTGTGTTAGTTACCATACATGTGTGTGTTAGTTACCATACATGTGTGTGTTAGTTACCATATGTGTGTGTGTGTGTGTGAACTCACCTAGTTGAGGTTGCGGGGGTCGAGTCCGAGCTCCTGGCCCCGCCTCTTCACTGATCGCTACTAGGTCACTCTCCCTGAGCCGTGAGCTTTATCATACCTCTGCTTAAAGCTATGTATGGATCCTGCCTCCACTACATCGCTTCCCAAACTATTCCACTTACTGACTACTCTGTGGCTGAAGAAATACTTCCTAACATCCCTGTGATTCATCTGTGTCTTCAACTTCCAACTGTGTCCCCTTGTTACTGTGTCCAATCTCTGGAACATCCTGTCTTTGTCCACTTTGTCAATTCCTCTCAGTATTTTGTATGTCGTTATCATGTCCCCCCTATCTCTCCTGTCCTCCAGTGTCGTCAGGTTGATTTCCCTTAACCTCTCCTCGTAGGACATACCTCTTAGCTCTGGGACTAGTCTTGTTGCAAACCTTTGCACTTTCTCTAGTTTCTTTACGTGCATGGCTAGGTGTGGGTTCCAAACTGGTGCCGCATACTCCAATATGGGCCTAACGTACACGGTGTACAGGGTCCTGAATGACTCCTTATTAAGATGTCGGAATGCTGTTCTGAGGTTTGCTAGGCGCCCATATGCTGCAGCAGTTATTTGGTTGATGTGCGCTTCAGGAGATGTGCCTGGTTGTTATACTCACCCCAAGATCTTTTTCCTTGAGTGAGGTTTGTAGTCTCTGGCCCCCTAGACTGTACTCCGTCTGCGGTCTTCTTTGCCCTTCCCCAATCTTCATGACTTTGCGCTTGGTGGGATTGAACTCCAGGAGCCAATTGCCGGACCAGGTCTGCAGCCTGTCCAGATCCCTTTGTAGTTCTGCCTGGTCTTCGATCGAGTGACTTCTTCTCATCAGCTTCACGTCATCTGCAAACAGGGACACAACAGAGTCTATTCCTTCCGTCATGTCGTTCACAAATACCAGAAACAGCACTGGTCCTAGGACTGACCCCTGTGGGACCCCGCTGGTCACAGGTGCCCACTCTGACACCTCGCCACGTACCATGACTCGCTGCTGTCTTCCTGACAAGTATTCCCTGATCCATTGTAGTGCCTTTCCTGTTATCCCTGCTGTGTGTGTGTGTGTGTGTGTGTGTGTGTGTTAGTTACAATATATGTGTGTGTGTGTGTGTGTGGTTAGTTACAATATATGTGTGTGTGTGTGTGTGTGTGGTGTGTGTGTGTGTGTGTGTGTGTGTTAGTTACAATATATGTGTGTGGTGTGTGTTAGTTACAATATGTGTGTGTGGTAGTTAGTGTGTGCGTGTGTGTGTGCGTGTGTGTGTTAGTTACAAACATGTGTATGTTAGTTACCATATGTGTGTGTGTGTTAGTCTACCATGTGTGTGTGTTAGTTACTGTGTGTGTGTTAGTTACCATGTGTGTATGTGTGTGTGTGTTGTTCCGCGCGCGCGCGTGTGTGTGTGTGTGTGTGTGTGTGTGTGTGGTGGTGTTGTTGTTGTGTGTGTGTGTGTGTGTGTGTGTGTGTGTGTGTGTGTGTGTTTTAGTTACCACGTGTGTTAGTTACCATGTATGTGTATGTGTGTGTGCGCGCGCGCTTGCTTGCATGCGCAGAACAAACCACATGAGGATGAAAATCCTTAACTCTATATCTTTCACACACTCTTGTATCGTCAGAAGCTATGCAATGTTGCAAGATAACAAAGGAGAGGAAATTCTTTGAGGCAAGGCAGAAGGTATCATTGGCGGTTGTTCCATGAGGAGCCACTTATAGCTTCTGCCTTCCCTCAGAGAACTTTCCCTATCTGTTGCTGTCTTGCAACACTGCATAGCTCCTGAGGACGCACGAAAGATCTAGAGCAAAAGACTTCCATTCCCATGTGGCTTGTTCTGAATATATCAATAACAACATTGCGCAAGCCAAGGATTCGAACCCATGTTGTACTGGCCCTCCATTGTGAGCCAGCAGCATGCATTTATATATATATATATATATATATATATATATATATATATATATATATATATATATATATATATATATATATATATATATATATATTGTAACCACGATGCTGCTCGTAGGCTAGTACGCCAAACAGGGATGAGAATGAAATTAGCTTGAAAGCTCCCACACCTCCGTAAGTTCTCCGACCAAGAGTAACACCTAGCTTGGCTGGGTGCTTGGTTCTTGTAGGATTGGGTGGTTCTGTGGGTTAAGGCGTCATGTGGTTTTCGCTCGCAATGGCGGGCCAGTACAACATAGGTGCGAATCCTTAGCTAGTGCAGTGTTGTCATTGATCAATACCACTCATTCGTCATTACAATAATAAATTATGGTCTTTCTTTTTCGTTTTGTCTGTGACGGGTTTCTTCTCCTGTGTCCAACAACGTGTGCGTGTGTAGTAATTTATGTATGTACTTATTGTTCTCAACAGTGTTAATGTTGCAGTTTAAAAACTGTAGTGTAAAGCACCCTTCTGGCAAGACAGTGATGGAGTGAATGATGGTGAAAGTTTTTCTTTTTCGGGCCACCCTGCTTGTGGAATCGGCCATTGTTAAAAAAAAATATGTATTTATTTCGTGTCTGTGAAGATTGTTCTCAGTTCAAAACAACTGAAATATAATTTATGTAGTACTTATTGTCAACAGTGTAATGTTGCAGTTAAAAACTGTAGTGTAAGCACTTCTGGCAAGACAGTGATGGAGTGAATGATGGTAAGTTTTCTTTTCGGGCCCACCCTGTCCTTGGTGGGAATGGCAGTTGTTTAAAAAAAATTGTATTATGTCTGACTGTAAGATATTCTAATGAAACATAAAAAATAAATTAAGAGAGAGAAGAAGAGAGACTCAGGACGAACTGAGTTTGTCAGGAGCAATCCACATGCTGTACCATAACCCTGTGGTTTGCAGTTGACACTTGTAAGACATGCTGCATCACCTACGACTGTCAGATTAAATATGGAAACCAGGTAGTTAGCAGTTTACATCTCATGTAAACTATCAGAAAAGATTACATTGTACTATAGTTGAAATCATTCCTGAGAAATATCCTACTTGTAAGGAAGTTTGGACGAATATGAAAAGGCTACCACTCGATGAATTATCAAGGATGAATTATCAAGGTTGAATTATCATGTATGAGTTATCAAAGATATATTTTCAAAGATGAATATCAAGGATGAATTATCAATTATAATACTTGTGAAAATTTAATAATTCTTGGAAAATTGAATACCTTATGTACACTGTTTTAGTTCTTTAAATAAAATACTCATTTCATAGGATAAGAATTACTGACATTGATTATTTAACGGTGACTCAAAGCATTTTTTTTTATATTTGCCTTAAATGTTGATAAATTATTTCTTTCGTTTGGTGTTTTAATTTATAAAACATTATTGTCTCTCCTGAGAGTTCATATTTCTCTTGTACCATCGGTTGCGTTGTTTGATTAATTTATGTCATTGTTTACCTGTGGTGTTTTAATTTATAAAACATTATTGTCTCTCCTGAGAGTCCATATTTCTCTTGTACCATCGGTTGCGTTGTTTGATTAATTTATGTCATTGTTTACCTGTCTGGAGTTATATATTCTACTCCGGTTCTTCAAAAGCTTATCATTAATAATTCTCTACCGAGAGATTTATATTGAAATATGCGTATATAAATCTCTATACTGATATAGAAATGCAATAAACTTAAAAAATCATAAACTAAAACTTAGTGTTTTCTTATGACTACTTCTGGATTTTCTTATTTGTGTTAGCTTTGTATTTTATGAATAAACAGGCAGAAAATCGTGATTGGAGTGATACACAAATAATCCGCACAGAGTGACACTTACGACATTTCAGCACGACTAGTTAATGGTCCAAGTCGGACCGAAACGTCGTCATAAGTTTCAGTCTCCTGTGTGAGGGTTATTTGTGTGGATTGTATTTTATGCTATGTCCAATAGCGTAGACGGGATCTTGTGTCACTCTTTTGTGATTATATTATTCTGAGAGAAAGGGAAAAAGCGTCGTCCTGAATTATTACCAGCCATTTCCTGCCCTTTCACTACTATCTTCTAGTATTCCGTATTCTATCTTCGGTCTATATTTTTTTTAAACATATCTTTCTGACAAACTGTTTTTCTCCCGCAAGATTTTTTTTACTCCTTTACTGTTCGCTCTCATTCTCCCTCTTTGTATTTTCAAATTATCTTCACAATCTGAATTCCACTTTCTTTAATTACCCACCCATTTTTTCAAAGGCATGGTGCAGCACAGTCGGATTGTCAGACTGTATCACCCTTATTACTGTGTATTTCATTTATTTTCCAATACTTGAGAAGCAAGCAATTTAGGGCAGTTACCCATGAGAGCCATACAGCTGTTTTCTGTCGATAATTCACATGTGACTGCGACGCTTCTTGTTGAAAGCCCAAGAAGTCAACAGAAATTAGTGCTCCAGTCATAAAATTTGTTGTGAAGGGTGAAAATAGATCAATGCTATTTAGGTATCTTTAATTTTTAAGGGAATTAGGAATGCAAATTAAATATATTTAGATTGCAAATTAATGTTTATTTTAATATACACCAGGAGAGAGATGCGTTCATTACACCGTTTCATGTTTTGGAGAGCGTCGTGTATTTCTGTACAATAGTTCATAGACGATAAAATAAGAATGAAGAAATCGTAATGACAAGATTGCAAACAAACCAGGGTAAATATGATTTTTTTTTACATTAGAAACTCAATGTCTTTGAGAGTCCTTTAAAAATAACTAGGAATGTCTTTTGCAATCCAGATGGTGATGAGGTATTCACAAAAAAAAAAAAACTGTCGGTTCTACCATAAGTAAACTTTCGTCAGATCCTTCTCAGTAAAATATTTATTAGAATTATTGCATTTATAACAAAATTTTCATAAAATGTCCAATTAAGAATTATATAAACGATGTTGATAATTGTGTCTTTAGGATTCCTAACTCAAAACATCATATAATTTTATGTAAAACAATAAAAGAAGTAAAACAAGTACAGTGATTTGTTTGCAGTCGTGTTATTATGATTTCGTTAGTAATAAAAAAAAAAAGTCTTTTTAGATGATTAAAATTACATCACTTAATTTAGTGGGAACCTGGATACGCTGTTTTTCATTTAAGAGGTTTTAATAATTTTATTGATTGTCTTAAATTTAACTAATATAGGATGGATAATATTCGTGCATTTCAAAATTGTTTTAAGAACCCTTAAAACTGAATTTATTCACACAGGTGCTAGTAACTCGCAAGCATTATATGATAAACGTAAACGTTCTCAATCCATAATTTTGGAAAATTGTTAACGTAAATTTATTGAGCCATTCATGAACGAGCAAACATTGACACATGATAGATATTTACTATAAACTTTGTGAGATGTAGGAAAGATTAAGTGACTTAATTGCTTTTTTTTTTTGTCACAAAAACGAGTGCTTATATTATGGTTAACTTACAGACTGTTAATATGAGCAGATCTTTTCAACATTTTAGGTCAAAACATATAAGCAATATTAAAACAATAAGTGTGAGAAGTTTATGTGCTTAAGACCTACAGCTTAATACTTAAACATTCTACTACTTGAAGGTCTTTCCGGAAGTCAACGCCCCCGCGGCCCCTATCCTTGACCAGGCCTCCCAAGGTGTGGGCTGTGCACCCCTACTGAGTTATTCCAAAGGGTCAGCAAAGCTTGGCTGCAAGTATTGGTCTTGTAGCCTGCCCTCGATACCTTGTTATCCACTGATGTCTATTCTGGCCAATACTGTGTGGGGCCCCGTGTTCACAATAGTTGGGAACCGCTGTTAGTCCTATAAAATTCAAGGGAGGTATTCACGGGTCTGGGTCATGAAATAAAACTGTGATAAGCCTCGCATTACAATGATTGTTGCTTTATGTTCCTCAATATCAACAATTTTGTTTAGATCGATTGTATTTAATGTGTGTCTTTGCGTATAGAGTAACAGTGAATAACAAGTGAATAATATTTCTAGAAGTATACTTCTCTAGGTTAAGACATTCACACAACGATACTAAGCCAGTTTAGCACATTTCATGAATCTATCGTTACCACTCTGACTCGAAACATGGCCATTCCAGAGTGACACTAGTACTCCAGGCTAACAAACTATTACTAGGCGGTGAATTACTAAGACTAGCTTATACCACACCAACTATCTTTCTAAACTGACACACATTACCAATCAAGGCCGAGTGGGTTAGCATGACAGACACACAAAAACTTTTTAGTGAAATCACAGTCATTGAAAGAGTACTCATTGTCAATCCTATAGACAGCTGCACTGTCTTCGCCATCAGCAAAGTTTATACTTAAAGATGAGATCTGGGAGTCGTTATATGGTGTTTGGTCGCCCCAAGTCTTGATTGTTTTATTCTCGGCCCGATGAAGGTCAACCCATATAGGCCCTGCCGAGAAAATTAGCAATAAGTGAAAAATTCCTGTGCTGTACTGACTTCGATCTACAGCTGGTGCCAAGTAATAACAGCTTTTATAGGCTGAATGGTAATACAAGTCAGGGGACAATCGTATAATTTAAATAGATAAAATTACCATTTTTCTTAAACAATTGCAGAGCAATGGTGTAGTGAACAATTAATTTTGGCATGAAGAGGCGGAAACCAGGGATCTTCTTGCATAGTTCTTTAGCTGAAGTGAAGTTCATCGGCTCTTCCGGGATGTAATAAAGGAAAGTGTCGCCCATCACTTGATTAACGAGTCCCTTGAGTGGAGCTAGAAGTACATACACGTAATATTAGCATACATCTCTGAATATATATATATATATGTGTGTGTGTGTGTGTGTGTGTGTGGTGTGTGTGTGTGTGTGGTTGTGTGTACTCACCTAGTTGTACTCACCTAGTTGAGGTTGCGGGGGTCGAGTCCGAGCTCCTGGCCCCGCCTCTTCACTGATCGCTACTAGGTCACTCTCCCTGAGCCGTGAGCTTTATCATACCTCTGCTTAAAGCTATGTATGGATCCTGCCTCCACTACATCGCTTCCCAAACTATTCCACTTACTGACTACTCTGTGGCTGAAGAAATACTTCCTAACATCCCTGTGATTCATCTGTGTCTTCAGCTTCCAACTGTGTCCCCTTGTTACTGTGTCCAATCTCTGGAACATCCTGTCTTTGTCCACCTTGTCAATTCCTCTCAGTATTTTGTATGTCGTTATCATGTCCCCCCTATCTCTCCTGTCCTCCAGTGTCGTCAGGTTGATTCCCCTTAACCTCTCCTCGTAGGACATACCTCTTAGCTCTGGGACTAGTCTTGTTGCAAACCTTTGTTTGTTGTGTGTGTGTGTGTGTGTGTGTGTGTGTGTGTGTGTGTGTGTGTGTGTGTGTGTGTGTGTGTGTGTGTGTGTGTGTGTGTGTGTGTGTGTGTACAGTGGCTGCACACTTGAAGGGTTTGGGATATTTGCTGCTTAGAGGTATATCTAAGCTGTCGTATCTGCGTGCCTCTGGCAAGATAATGATAGTTTAAGTGATGAAAATGTTTCTTTTTCAGGTCACATTAACACGGTGGGAGACGGCCACGAATTTTATATTCCGCCACATCCCAAATTTTGCGCCAAAGTCTAAGCCTTCCATCTGCATGTCGCAGTAGAAATCATGATTCGTCAGATCAGGGAAAATTATTCCAGTCTTCAACCGGCTAGCTTAGGTGATCCTGTTCCCAATGTAGCCTCAGTTTCCTGTTCTTAGTTGACAGCATTGGAATCTGATGTGGTTTTCTGTTGCTGTAGCACATACACTTCAAGGTTAGACATGTGCATTCAGAGATCTCTTCTGCATACTCTTGATGTAACGCGTGTTACATCAGCGGTATGCAGAGTTACTGTCGCCTGCCTTTCAACTCGAACCAGTCTTGCCGGTCTGCTCTGACAAGTCTTTTTAACAAGGCGTTCTCGGCCACAGAACTACCACTCATTGGATGTGTGTTTTCTATACTATTCTCTAAGTTCTACGTGAAAGTGGCAGGAGAAAAACAGTGAGATAATCAAGCGAAAATTTGTGTATGCAATAATTTCTAGCAATTTTAAAATATTTAAAATTCTTTTAAAAGTGCTAGAAATACTTTTTACAATCCAAAAAGGGACAACCTGCCTTATTCAACTAAAAATATGTTGGTTCTCCCTTACCATGAAAACTTGGTTGACATGCCTTTCCTTAAGACTTTTAATATCAAAGTTTTATTTAAAAATCTTGATACAGTAAAAAAAAAATTTGATAAAGAATTCCCCCCCAAAATGCTGACGGATGTTTATTACGGTCAAACTGGTAAAAATCTCGAACTAAGATTAAAACAGCATAAATATAGCATTAGAACTGGACAATATTCCAATGCTCTATTTATTCATGTAAGAGATTTTAACCATCCAATTGATTTTCAAAAAGTTGACAAAGTTGTATCAAGCAAGTCCATGGTCGACAGGAATATAATTGAATCTTGTTTCATAAAAAGCAGTTTTGACAATAATATGAATACTTCCTTAATTTATATAAATTAGATCCATTTATAATTAATAGAATTTGGGAAGAATTTAATAATACATTGGACAAACAATAAATTTAAAAAATTTTAATTCTTGGGTAGAATAGTTTGTGGGTTGTGTGAAGGACCTGTCTAGTTTGGCCAGCGGGCCTGCTGCAGTGTTCTCTTTCTAATGAGTCGCGCATCAGGTGTTGCTTTGTTGTGGGATGCGATAATGAGGTGTGGTCTAAACCCTTTATATGCCTTCCTTTGATGCATTACTTATTTTGTTCCTTGATAATGTGAGTAGCCACGAAAGCGCTTGGAATTTCTCTATTCTTTCACAGTGGTTGTTTTGCATATTCTGAAATCACCTGTTTACTGTGATCTTATTGCATGCATATATATATATATATATATTATATATATATATATATATATATATATATATATATATATATATATATATATATATATATATATTATGTCGTGCCGACTAGATAAAGTTGGTCAGTTAGCAAGAACTCGTATAAACTTAAGTCCTTTCTAAAATTTTCTCTTACACGTTTAAAAATATTTTTTTTTCATTTACGATAACGTAAAAAATAATTAATATTTGTTAAATATTTTTGTTTATCTAATTTAATAAAAAACAAAATAAAATGAAAAGAAATGGTGTAAAAAGACAAGGTTTCGCTCACACAGTGGGTTTCATCAAGTCACAAACAGGTGCGACTCTATAATGCCCACTGTGCAGGCGAAACGTTGTAAATAAAATCTCCTATAACACTGCATGTGTCTTATTCCATGAACAATAAGACGCTTGGAAAAAGGAAATAAGACATGTCCCACTATCAAATTTGAATGATATGAATGTACGTTAGTTCAATATATTCCTATCATCTCGCATTTCAACACTGATCAGAGTAATGTAAATATCTTTCTCGGAAAAATGAAAGTAAAAGGGCCACTGAAAATATCAGATTGAGAGCGAGGAAAATTCTCCTTAAAAAACACTGATTGTTTATATTGCTACTGTTATTTATTGTAAATGTTATTGTTATACACTCTCAGTGGTGCTATTTTACACAGACTGTTGCTGGAATATATTGTGATTAAATTAGCTGTTATACACTACATTGCGAATGTATCAATTGTTATGCAGTATAAATGTGATTGTATCAACTGTTATACAGTGCAATGTGATTGTATCAACTGTTATACAGTGCAATGTGATTGTATGAACTGTTATGCAGTAAAATGTGATTGTATCAACTAAGTATCAGTGATAACTTCGTTTGTATCAAAATGTGGGTCAAAATATCTTCTAGATTTAACGAAATGTTTTGTATATGTATCTTAAGTGTTGCAATAAAATCTGACCTTTCCAGTAATAGTAGGTTGCCTGTGTGTTGTTGACTAGCGTAGAGTTGATGGGACTTTTGTTAGAGAGTCGACACTCAACCCCCTCATTCACCTCCGCTCTGTCTACCGCAACAGCATGACACTGTCTGTGTGACCAGCAAGCAATACGGCAGTGACCTGGGCAATTAATACATGCCTTAATTTAGTGAGCATTATAAATATAACATTCACTGCATCACAGAAATATTTTTTTTTAAATATAACACGAGTGTTGTGTATTTATGAGAGTTGTTAATGATGTGGTGTATTGAAACCCATCGTTAAGCAGCTCTCAATCATGCTAAACTGAATAGGAAATTTTAATGAAATACCACATATGTTAGTGAGAAAATAATTTTTTTTTGTTTTACAGGCTCTCGTTAGTCATCAGGGAAACTTTAACACGAGATAAAAATAGACAACATCGTTTCCCACCCAGGCAGGGTGACCCGAAAAAGAAGAAACACTTTCATCATTCACTCCATCTTTCCAGAGACGTGCTTACACTACAGTTATAAAACTGCAACATTAACACCCCTCCTTCAGAGTGCAGACACTGTACTTCCCATCTCCAGGATTCAAGTCCGGCCTGCCGGTTTCCCTGAATCCCTTCATGTTACCTTGCTCACACTCCAACAGCACGTCAAGTCATAAAAATAATTTGTCTCCACTCCTATCCAACACACTCACGCATGCTTGCTTCCTAGAAGTCTAAGCCCCTTGCACACAAAAACCTTTACCCCCTCCCTCCAGTCTTTCTTAGACCGACTCCTACCTCCCACTCCTTCCACTACAGATTTTTACGATCTCAAAGTACAGTAATTCTGTTTTGTTTCATCCTCTCTAAATGTCCGAACCACCTCAACAAACCTCTCCTCAGCCCTCTGGATAATACTTTTAGTAAACCCGCACTTCCGCCTAATTTCCAAACTACGGATTCCCTGCATTATATTCACATGGCATATTGTCCTCAGATGAATAACAAAAAGGCATAATACTGTGACTGGAACAATGCACAAATAACCCCCACACACGACTTGGACCAAATACGAAGTCACTTTGTAAATGGCCCAAGTCGGACGGAAATGTCATCGTAAGCTCCTCTCTCCTGTGTGTGGGTTATTTGTGTATTGCCCTCAGGCATGACATCCACTGTCTACAGCCTTCCTGTTGCAACATTCACCACCCATGCTTTACACCCATATACGTCCGTTGATATAACAATACTCTCATATATTTCCCTGTTTGCTTCCATGGATAACGCTCTTTGTCTCCACAGACTCATCAATGCACTACTCTCCTTTTTCCCCTCATCAATTCTATGACTCACCTCAACTTTCCTAGACCCATCGGCTGACAAGATCACTCTCTAATATCTGAATACATTCACTTTCTCCATATTTATATCTAGTCTGATATCCAGTCTTCCATTACCGAAAATTTTTTCCTGATCACCATACTCTTTCTTATGTTCACTTTTAATTTCCTTCTTTTACATACCCTATCAAACTCGTGCACCAACCTCCACAACTTCTCTTCAGAATCCCCCAAAAGCACAGTGTCATCAGCAAAAAGCCACTGTGATAACTCCCATTTGTGTTAAACTCTTTATTATTTAATCCCACACCTCTTGCCAACACCCGAGCATTCACTTCTCTTACAACCTTATCTATAAAAATATAGACTAGCCACGGTAACATCACACATCCTCGCCCAAGGCCAACTATTGCTGGGAAATAATCTCCCTCTCTCCTACATACTCTAACCTGAGCCTCATTATTTTTATAAAAACTCTTCACTGCTTTCAGTAACCTACCTCCTATTCCATACATTTGCAATATCTGCCACAATGCCCTCCTATCCACCCTATCATGTGCTTTTTCAAATCTCCACTATGCCCCAAAAACCTCTTTACCCTTATATAAATACATTCTCCTATACGTTTCACTGTAACCACTTGGTCTACATACCCCTTACCCTTCCTAAAGCCTCCTTGTTTATCTGCGATCCTGCTCAGTCTTACCCTTGATTCTTTCAGTAATAACTGTATATACACTTTACCAAGAATACTCAATAGGCTTATTCCCCTAAAATTTCTGCACTCTTTTATCCCCTTTGCCTTTATGAAAAATAACTATGCATGCTCTCTACCAATCCCTAGATACCTTACCCTCTTCCATTCATTTATTAAATAAAAGCACTAACCACTCCAAAATTATATCTTCACCTGCTTTTAACATTTCTGTCTTTATCTCATCAGTCCCAGCTGCTTTACCCTCTTTCATTCTACCCACTGTCTCAAGCAGTTCCCCAACACTCACAACTGGCTCTTCCTCACTCCTACAAGATGTTATACCTTCTACCCCCATACACGAAGTCACAGCTTCCCTATATTTAACATTTACCAGTTCCTCAAAATATTCCCTCCATCTTCCCGATACCACTAGCTCCCGGCATTTTAGTCGCCTCCTACGACTCGCATAACTTACGGAGGAAAGATTCTTTTCCATGGTGATGAAAGGATGTAAAAAGAACAAAAACTATTTAGAAAAATAGAAAATTCAGAACGGTGTGTATACATATTCGTGTTCATGCATATGTAGTGAGCATAAGTATAAGTAGCAAGACGTATCTGTTTTCTCGCGTGTTTATGAAATATATATTTTTTATTCACTATAAATGATATATATATATGTTTTATTTTTAGACAAAATAAAACTTAGATGCCTCACCTAATTTAACTTAAACTATCGTAATTTCTTTTAGCTAAATTCGGGTATGCATAGCATAGATCAATTTAAATTAATTTAATAATGCTTCAATGATTAATAATAACACACACACACACATTATATATATATATATATAATATATATTTATGTGTGTGTGTGTGTGTGTGTGTGTGTGTGTGTGTGTGTGTGTGTGTGTGTGTGTGTGTGTGTGTGTGTGTGTGTGTGTGTGTGTGTGTGTACTCACCTAATTGTACTCACCTAATTGTGGTTGCAGGGGCCGAGACTCAGCTCCTGGCCCCGCCTCTTCACTGATCGCTACTGGATCCTCTCTCTGCTTCCTGAGCTTTGTCATACCTCTTCTTAAAACTATGTATGGTTCCTGCCTCCACTACTTCACTTGCTAGGCTATTGCACTTGCTGACAACTCTATGACTGAAGAAATACTTCCTAACGTCCCTGTGACTCGTCTGAGTCTTCAGCTTCCAGTTGTGACCCCTTGTCCCTGTGTCCCTTCTGGAACATCCTATCTCTGTCCACCTGTCTATTCCCGCAGTATCTTGTATGTCGTTATCAGTCTCCCTGACCCTTCTGTCCTCCAGTGTCGTCATGTCGATTTCCCTTAACTTTCCTCGTACGACATTCCTTGACTCTGGGACTAGCTTGTTGCAAACCTTTGTACTTTCTCTAACTTCTTGACATGCTTGACCAGGTGTGGGTTCCAGACTTGTGCTGCATACTCCAGTATGGGCCTACATACACAGTGTACAGTGTCTTGACGATTCCTTATTAAGGTATCGGAACGCTTTCTCAGGTTTGCCAGGCGCCCGTATGCTGCAGCGGTTATTTGGTTGATGTGTGCCTCCGGTGATGTGCTCGGTGTTATGGTCACCCCAAGGTCTTTCTCCCTGAGTGAGGTCTGTAGTCTTTGTCCACTAGCCTATACTCTGTCTGCGGTCTTCTTTGCCCCTCCCCAATCTTCATGACTTTGCATTTGGCTGGATTGAATTCGAGAAGCCAGTTACTGGACCACATGTCCAGCCTCTCCAGGTCTCTTTGCAGTCCTGCCTCATCCTCGTCCGATTTAATTCTTCTCATCAACTTCACGTCATCTGCGAACAGGGACACTTCAGAGTCTATTCCTTCCATCATGTCGTTCACATATATCAAAAATAGCACTGGTCCTAGAACTGACCCCTGTGGGACCCCGCTCGTAACAGGCGCCACTGTGATACCTCTTCACGTACCATGACTCGTTGCTGCCTCCCTGTCAGGTATTCCCTTATCCATTGCAGTGCCCTTCCTTTTACGTGTGCCTGATCCTCCAGCTTCTGCACTAATCTCTTGGGGAACTGTGTCAAAGGCCTTCCTGCAGTCTAGGAAAACGCAATCTACCCAACCCTCTCTCTCATGTCTTACTTCTGTTACCTTGTCATAAAACTCCAGGAGGTTTTGTGATACAAGATTTGTCTTCCATGAACCCATGCTGGTTTTCATTTTATAATCTTGTTCCTTTCCAGGTGTTCGACCACTCTCCTCCTGATAATTCTTCTCCATGACTTTGCACACAATACATGTCAGAGACACAGGTCTGTAGTTTTAGTGCCTCGTTTCTGTTTCCTTTCTTAAATATGGGGGACTACATTAGCTGTCTTCCATTTCTCAGGTAGTTGCCCAGTTTCAAGGGATGTGATGAAGATTGTGGTTAGAGGCACACACAGCATCTCTGCTCCTTCTCTAAGGACCCATGGGGAGATGTTGTCCGGTCCCATCGCCTTTGAGGTGTCAAGGTCACTTAAGAGCTTCTTCACCTCCTCCTCAGTTGTTCGTATGTCATCCAACACTTGTTGGTATATTCCCTCTTGATGTTCCTTCTGTTCTGTCTTCCCACAGCCCTTCCTGTCTCTACTGTAAAACTTCCTTAAATCTCCTGTTCAGCTCCTCACATACCTCCTGATCATTTCTTGTGAGTTCTCCACCTTCTGTCCTTAATCTGATCACCTGGTCTTTGACTGTTGTCTTCCTCCTGATGTGGCTATACAACAGTTTCGGGTCTGTCTTGATTCTCGATGCTATGTCATTTTCTACTGTCGCTGGGCCTCCCTCCTTACCTGTGTGTACTCATTCCTGCTCTGCGACTGATCTCCCTATTTTCGTGTGTTTCTCTGCTTCTGTACTTTTTCCATTCTCTATTGCACTTTGTTTTTGCCTCCTTACACCGTCGGGTGAACCAGGGGCTTGTTCTGGTCTTCCCGTTGTTACTGTTCCCCTTTGGGGAATGAACCTTTCCACTGCCTCCTTGCATTTTGTTGCTACATATTCCATCATTTCATTTACTGGCTTTCCTGCCAGTTCTCTTTTCCCACGGGGACCTCCGCAGGAAGTTCTTCAACCCTATGTAGTCCCCTC